CCAGGAAACCTTCGGAAAGAAAATAACAATTAAACTAAGGATTAGAAATGAGGAGTTTTAAAGGGATCTATGACGAAAAGCTAGCGAGTAGGTCATAATTGCAGCACTTTCATTATGAAGTAAGGCGAAGAGATTCAACGGGACCCACTCCTATCGCGACGTTTAAAAATCCACTGGTACATGCTAACTTCTATTTGGCAGTTGGATTGAAACGCGACCGACTACCTAAGTTGTCTGAAGAATTTTAAGGCTCTTCTTTACTAAATACTTCGGCTTATTGAATCTCGTGATTGAGGGGCTTATGTACATCCTGAAAATCCTTAAGGCTACGTATAAGTCGGGCATGAGGTATGGAATGAAACTGGATCACTATTAAGTAGTCGGTGTGTATTACAAAGCCGGTGTATGAAGTCAGGCCATGTAAAGGTTATCCCTACATGGAATATGAGGTGTGTAGTTGGGGGAATGATAGGTCAGGTTGTCGAGATGTTAGACCGGTACAAAGGTTACGATAGTCTAAAAGTTACATGAGCATTACAAGCCTTAACAGAAGGCGTTATGTCTCATGATTGTGGCGGCGGAAGTTAAACCTCGTCATTTATGAAGGAATTTGAGAGGTCTCCTTTTAATAAAGGTAAGTTACTAGAGTAATGGTATAAAAGGGAACCTCCTCTGAAGGGAAAGATAGACATACCTCACGTATAAGCAAGATACAAACCACAAATACACAACAGTTGCAGTCCTGCTTGATTTACTTTGAGAGGATTATCCAAATTTGTTTTTACAGTGTATATATATATATATATATATATATATATATATATATATATATATATATATATATATATATATATATATATATATATATATATATATATATATATATATATATATATATATATATAATTTCTACTTAGAAAATAACATTTTTGGAACAATTCCTAGCATAATATCCAAATTTTTGATAATAATAACATTGGACTTCCTTCATGTCCACTTTCTTTTTTGAATTTCTGACTGTGAGAAGCACCGATTCTTACTTGTCTCATCCTGATTTATTGAATTCTTGTTTATACCATCACCTTTATTCCACTCCTTCTTCCAATTTTCTTTACCTTTGATATTTTTTTGAGGAGTCTCCTTTCATTTTCTAAAAGAATTTGGCATGCCTTGTTTAACCACCTTCTTTGAATTTCTGTAATTCAGCCTCAACTCGCTAGCTTCAAGAGATGTTAGCAATTCTTCAAGTTTCATTTCTAACAAATCTTTGGACTCCTCAATGGCCACAAAAATATAATCGAACTTGACCCTACGAGCTCTTAGAACCTTCTTCACTTTCTATATTTCAGAAGTGTTCTACCCAATTTTGAGAAGAGTTCAATAATTACTTCACAATTATTCATCTGCAAATTCTCATATTGTTTCCTAAAAGATTACAATTTAACTTTCTTTAATTTCTCACTCATACCATACAACTTCGTGTGAGTATCTCACGCATCTTTGACCATTTTTTGTTCAATGTTCTTCTCAAAGACATTTGAACACTGTTGAAACAAGAACAAATCTTTTTCATCTTTCTTGTTCATTTCACGATGAGTAGCTATATGCATCTCAGTAACATTTGTTTCTAATACGAAAAAAATCATCATTCACGATTTCAAAGATATCTTAAAATTTGAATATTACTTTTATATGCGCATACCATCTATCATAATTTTCTCCCATGAAAATTGATAGATTAACTGGGAGTTGATTGAAGGTTGTACTCTCATTTGTCATATAGAAATTGAGAATCAAACTAGTGCTTTAAATACAAATTTATTTAATAAGTTAGATTTTAAATTACTTGCAAATTGAGGATATTAAGAGAAAATTGAGAGTAATTTAGAGAAATATTATGAAAATGAAACTATAATCCACATATAGTGAGAGAGGTATTTAAATGGTTAAAAAAATCCTAATTAAAATTAATAGTTAGTTGGTCCAGTGATGATGACTATTTGATTTGGTAGAGAGAATCACAGTTCAATTACCCACAACTGCGATCAGGAGGGAGCTACCGAACTATACCGATACTGCAAAACCAGAAAGAAAAAGAAAACCTAATTAATTAACTAACCAAAAACGGTAACACTTTGGTTGTGTTGCAAGTTATACTTGCAACATTTTAACTTCCCCGAACAGCCATATACAAAAAAATTAAATTAACTCATAAAATTAACTTACCCTTAAAATATTAAAATTCAAAGTTTCCCAGCTTCACTTTTTTTATAAGTTGTTTTTTTCCCCTCAATATGACTTAGCTATGATTTGATATTCAATGCTTTGGACAATTTGTGGCTGGCCATCGTAATATACGCTAGAGTGCTACAGGTTTACATGCTTTTCTGATTTAACCCACAAGCTTACCATGGTTCATGTTTTCCATCTCTTTTCTTGCTCTTTCTTACTACTAGTTCTTTTCGTAATCTTGGTCTTTTCGAGTCTCACCTCTTTCTCTATACAAAGCACTATTTGACACCAAATTCACTCAACCCTTAGAATTGTAATTGGGCTTTTCTTCCTTACACAATAGAAAGAGGCCCATATTTATGACCACTACTCTACTTTTACATTCTAACCTCTCTATCTTAATATAACTCTATCTCTCTCTTCATTATCTTTAGTTTTCTAGTAAACATTTTTATTTCATTTTATTCCTCATTTTTCTAATTAGATGTATACACATCCATTTGATTTGATTTGAAATAAACTTGTTTTATTTTTTTTAAATACTAATTTTTTTATAAACATATAAGACAATGGAGTAGGTTGAGAGAGTGTTTGTTGTTTTTCTTACTATACTAATCCTTTATTTTAATTGAAAATTTATTCCTTTTCTCCATTTTTTATGAGTGTCATTTCTCTCGCCTTGCATTTGTGTTTGTCATATATAAATTAAAACAACTAATATAATAAAATCATAATTTTAAAATAGTAATTGATTTTATCGGGGTCAGAAGAATCTTCAGTGACCTGTAATATTTGGACTTCCACGGTTATTAGAGAAGAAAGATGGAATGTATCTGTAAGGTGCTCTGATACTAAAGTAAAGTTTAAAGTAAAAGATAACAAGTACTGAATGTAAGAGTGAATAGAATAACTAACCCTCTAGTTAAAAAGGATATTTATAGTGTCTTCAGTGTTGGTCCAAGGCCTCTATTATGGGTTGAATATCCAGACCCATAATGGATGACTGTTAGGATTTGCGTGAGAGTGAAGATGAGCAACATGTGTTCATCATCTTGGGTAATGTGCTCTGAACTTCACGGGTAAAGGGTTAACCGCAACTGTTACGAAATGTGTAACGACTTCGAGGATTGTAGAGAACGTTTGATGACGTGTCCCCGAGCTAGGGGCACGTGGACAACACATGTTCAAATGAGACCCCAAGGGATTGGGTCACCAATTGGACTGTTGTTGGCATAAGGGAAAATTGGGTACTAAGGAGGAAGTCTTTGAGACTTAACAAAATTCAGTGTTTTGAAGCTGAATCGACGTAGTGGATTAAAGTAAGTAGATTGGGATCCAGATCGCTGAAGGTTCTGAAGCCCAAGTCGAAAACTAAGAGCATTCAACATGAGCAGTTTTTTGACGGTTGCCAACAAGACGTGGAAAAGTTCAAAAAGACAGTTTCATCACAAACTCTGAAAACGTGGTTGTAAATAACTATCGAATGTGTAGGATAGCAGTTACTTTTGTTGTCTATTTAAGCAAGTTTTTTTATTCATGTTAAAGGTCGCATTTTTGTAACATTGTAAGAAAGCACTCAAAGTACCCGCATCTAGAGAGAAACGAGTCAATGCTGAGAAATGTACGATTGTGTCCACCTTTAAATTCAAAAAAATTTATTTCAAGTCTTGTTTATCATTTCTACCTTGCAGTTTATTTATTTGTCTTTGTCTTTGTTTTTTTGCCCTTTTCTTGTTACATTTCATACTTTAACCATTTCAAACACCAAAATATTATCAAAATTAACACTAAGTCTAGGATTTTTGTAGCCGGTCCTGCAAGTAACCTTTAAGTAAGAGGCTAGAGATTGTTCGCGAGAAATACCCGCGAACAGTATTACACTTGATTCGAATCAAATGACAGGTAATCCAGGCTTAAGAGCTTTAATTTATGATACAAGTTATCCCTGATGAAATGACAAAGTAGCAACTATCTAGGTTCAAAAAGACATACTACCAAGGATCAAACACTCTTATTAATTGAGTAAGTTAGACTCTTATTGGTACAACAACACAATAGCCTAAGAAAATACAAATGAAGTACAAAACGAATAAAGTACAAGCACTCGACAAAATAATCAAATTACAAATATGCAAGTACTAAAAATTTCTATATCAAATTGACAAAAACATCAAAACACATAAGTAATACCATACAATATTGTGATTGCACTTTCAGTCTCCCCATTTGGAAAATTTGAGATATTATTGTTGATCGATAATCCAAGGCGTAATTTGGAATTTGATGAATGAAATGAATTCGGTGAACTAGTGTATATTTCTTCACTTGAGTTGTAAAAGTTATAAAACTCCCCCTACATTAAACACTTAATACATGTGAATATTTATAATATGTATATACCTTATCCCCCTTTGACAAATATCAAAAAGAGAAAAGACTAAAGAGAAAAAACACAATAAGTTGAATCCAAGGTAGAATAAAAGTCAAAAATAGAATGTTATACTTAGTGAATTAATTAAGCACCAATTAAATCACATACGAAATTAATATTGCAAAATACACAATTTAAAAGAAATAAACAAGAAACATATAACATAAAGAATCACAGAGATGTCATACATACGTGAGTAAAACTCGTCACATGATACATAATCCAAAATAGTCAAATATGATCAAAATCAAGTCAACCAGTCAACAAAAAAGCATAAATATCCTGAAAATGCTAAATGCTAAAGATATGCTATGCAAGAAAACAAAAACAAAAAAAATCATGGAAATGCATCAACATCAGATGGAAGAATATCAACAGGAGCAAGATTGTCATCAGGAATTGGAATAGAAGGATCAATTTCAACATCATAAGGACCAATATTAAGAATATCATTAGTTCTACTCAGGTGATCAACAATAACTCTGACATACTCTACTTGAGCAACAACTCGAGCTTCAAACACTTCAATCCTTACCTTCAGATCATCCCTCGGGTTTTCTAGGTTGACCTTGGCTAAAGAAAGAATAAGAACAATAATAGTAGGATAAAGAGAGAAAAGTATTACCTCATATAAACATCGATGATGGAAACAAACAAGATGCTGAGAAAATCACCTAGATACTTAGAAACAACGAAGGGATGCAAAATTAGGTAAGAAGAGACAAATGAACAAATCAAAGTTTCATTTGAATTCAAGAAAGAACATAAGGAACTTGTGGGAGGTATAATGTTTAAGCAAAAAGATGACGTTTGAATACTCTAGGTGCTAGTTCCAGTTCCTTTTGGCCTTAAACCATACGTAAAAATGACGTTATAGACATTTTAGTGACAAGACTAACATTTAATACAAATGTTTCCAATGTCACCTTCTCTCACACCAGACTATTCCACTTCTACCTCTGTAAAGCAAAGCCTCGCCCTAAAAACACAAGACGGCCATAGAGAGCAACCCAACAACCCCAATCTTTACTTCACTAAGTTACATCAACGACTTAGGAGATAGCTGTTCCAGATTGTTCAAAGATCCAAAACGGAGGGTCTAATTACGAAGGTCCAATCTAAACTTCACCTAGTAGGACGAATGGTCATGTGGAGCTTCCTCGAGATACATGGAACTTGATCCTAATCACTTGAGTATCCCATGCCGTTAAATATGATCATACGGTTCCTCACGTCACTCGTCAGGTTAGGCGGGAAAGATTCCAACTTCATGCATATATAAACACTATTGCGCGCTAATTACATGTATAATATCACTTTCAAATCACTTTTTTTTTACCTCATTGACTTGGGCGTTGAAATACTCATCGTGCAAATTTTCTCCGCTCCATTGTACCGAGAGTCCTTGCCACCGCATAAAAGGAGTTTATTCCTTGAGATTCACGTATCTCTTGTTCCTCCTAAGAACAATTCTATTATTAATCTCTTGCTCTTTTATTTTTAGGACATCTCCGGACAATGATATTAGAGTTATGATTCAGCTGTTTTTATTACTATTAAAATAAGAGTTCTATTTCAGCTTAATAAAACAACATAGTTTGAAGTTTAAATATGAGTAATTAATCTCGTATAGATTATAAATAAACTACTCTGAAATTCTCCCAACAAAGATTGTCAATCTCAATTTAATTACAAACAAACTAGGTGAATCTCCTTCCTACTGATGTTCACCATTGATTACTTATGGAAATATAAACACCATTCTAATGATTCATCATCTTTTTGAAGTAATATACATTGTTCATCATTGTTTGAAACCTCTATAGCATTTGAATCACAACATTTTGCATAAAGAATATCAAACCGTCCTTGCCAAGTAATGATGTTGGATCTTGTCATCCAATATGAAAGATAGGCTCCCTTATTGTCAACTTAGATGGCATCAAAATACTGCCAACTTTGTCATTTGATGAAAATATTAACTCCCCAAACAATGGAAGAATCAATGTTTTACATACTTCAACATTTGTGACTATTGACCTTCTGGTTGTGTCAAGGATATTCTTTGGTTGGTTTTTTCTTTTTGCATTAGCTTGAGCTTCTTGCTATGTTCTTCAATTAGTGCTTGCAAATTTCTTTGCATCTAAAGCCAAAGACAAAACAAACACAACATTGTAACAATAAGCCTAAGGATTGAATTGTGATCTCAACAATACAACTCAACTATTTTTGTAAGCAAAAGTGCTTATTACCTCTAGCTGTTGGGAAATACTTTTTCGAACCTCTAGTTGCAACTTCTGCGATTCCTCGATTTGCATAAGCCTGCTAGGAAATAGGAAAACAAAGAATATACATTTTAAAAACTGGTGAAATTTATGAATCTATGTTACATTAGTAACACTGTTTTATATAGATCTCAGTAACTAAATTTATGTTACACTTTGTGTTGAAGCTCTGTGACTCTATCTGTTCTAAATCCTTCCTCAGATCTTTCTGGAAAAGTAAAAGACAATTGTGTCACTCTTATTGATCATATCATTAAATAGTAAAGTAGCCCAAAATTTTAATTTGCAAAATTTCATGAACTATGCAATAAAAAAATGTAATTTACCCTGCAAAGCTTTATGTAAGCGTATTGTAGACCTACATTTCTGCAAAGAAATCATATAAGAAAAACATTAAAACGTCGATTAGTAGCGAATAAAGCCACACACAACAATGTTTGTGGACCTCATTTGAAATTGTTGAATGAAAATTACTATAATCTTTACCTGCAAATGACTTTTAACATGAGAAAGTGATAGCAATTTTGATTTCATCATATCTAGTATAGCCTTAGGCTTTGCTTCTGCAATGAATCAGTGAACTAATTGAATTGAGTAACAAGATTTTCTTTTTGCTTAATGTGTAAGTAACACTATAATTTAGTTAAACTTACTTTCTGGGCCACCAAGTTGATCAACTATCATCATGAATGATTCATGCAGTTCTTCTGTCCATCTTATTCTTCTGTTACTTGTTAGAGCTTTTCTTGAACCAGAGTTGCTAGAAGTGACACAGGTAGTTCCATAAAGTTGAGGAGTATGCTTTTGTGACTTTGTACATGACCCTGACTATATTAAGTCATAATTTATAGTTTATTAGAGTATTTAAAACAAACAAACAATGAAATAGGGACACTTCTAATAGTAGCCATATCATATTATGACACTCGTACGACACGTGTTAAAAATTTGTTGATTAGCACTTAACCCTAATGGAAAAATTACAAGCTACATATAAAGAAAGTAAGAATTACCTCAGTTCTCTGAAAATAAATTTCAAGGGGCTTCTTCTCATCTAAGAAAGCATCATTCTTCATCAATTCATCATGGTTTTGTGGAAAGTGATTATAAAATGACAACTTCCCAGACTGAAAATTACTATATTCTTCTTCGGAAGAATTATGACTATCAGCAGTATTAGACACCAAAGATTCATCAATAGAATATAAGGAGTTTGTGAGCTGAGAAGCAGTGAAGTTATCTCCAGAGGCTTGACAATTCAGCAATGGAGGATCTGTTATCTTTGGGAAGTTATCAAAACACCAATCAGGAACTTCAATCTCATCCTCATCATAGTATTCTTCACCTTGAAAATTGGAACTGATAATGTTGTTGTTGCAGGGTGATTTGATTGGCTCAAAACTCACATGCTCAGATCCAACAACCTTAACTAGGTTGTTGATTCCCATGTAGGATTCCCATTGTGTTCCATACATCCTTGACCAGTGTTGGTACATAGTTGGTTCTCTTAGCTTAAACTTTTGTGAAGTTCATAACTTCATATAAATGTCAAACCTATGTATATTTAAGGAATAAAAGAGGTATAAGAGGTTTAGCAGAAGGTTTATTAAACTTCAAATTGTTGTTTGTTTATATTATATATGTGTTTGATGAGAAAAGAAAGAGAGATAGAGTGATAAAGAGTGAGGAAAAGTTAAAAATGTATATGGACATGATTGTGTCATTGTACAAAGGGAATTTTACAATGTATGAGGACATGTTTTTTGTTGAAGTTCATTTTGACTCATGGATCATTTATATTGTATGCATTGTAGCTGCAGAGAGAAACTAATAGTCACTAATGTTTTTTAGTTTATAAAAGACAGACATAAAATGTTAAATCTCGTGTGACTCAGCAGCAGTCAGCAATGCAATATGGATTAGTACTTTGGATTAGAGGAATGGATTTGATTTGAGATTGTATTTAGAGAGTAAATTAAACTTTGATGGTTAAATTGATAGAATATATTAATCAAAAGTCTGGAATTGTCAAAGTGGTGAAAGTTTGGTTCTAAGAATGTTGTCTCATCAAGGTCTTATGATGTGTTGGGCCAATTCCATAGTTGCAAACAATTGTGTTAGGCCCAGTCTGGATACCGAGAATATATATATATATATATATATATATATATATATATATATATATATATATATATATATATATATATATATATATATATATCAATCTCGACCGGGTAATGAAATCGGCTGAAGAGGTAGCAGAGACGGTGGACAGCTCAGTGGTAAAAGGCACCCGGGAAGGGAATATAACTCGGCCAAAGGATACTAGACGACCATCGTCTCTTCGTGTAGTAGCATATATATACCATCAACTCAGCTAATACTAGTGACCATGATCCATTTGTCCATAGCCAGTCATCAACTTGGCTCATTAATGACTGTAATCGTCGCCGACGCATTTAAACCAATGTTATATAGATTTTAACAACTCCATTTATGGAGACAGAAGAAGTTATGTAGTTATGAAACCCAAGAGTCTCACATTAACTATGACTCTTGAAGACACAAGAAGAAATACTATATAAGGGGCTCCCGCAAGAGGTATAAGCAAGATATTATTCTTGGGATAATACGCGCCATTGACGTAGCTCTCAAATCTCCAACTATTCTTCAAACCTACTTTCATGGCTTTCCTTACTTTCGCTAGGGAAGCCGACCGAATATTTGTTCTACGCAAGAACATTGGCGCCCACCGTGGGGCCTTAGTAAAATTATCCTAGTCTAGACCTCAACACTCATTCGCTAGAATGTCATCTGAAAGAGACCCCAGACATGGCGCAATTGTTGGCCATGGTGGAAGCTCTAAGACAGTAGAATGAGACTCTCCAGGATAGTGTTGCTAACTTGCAACTTAAAAGCATGGGAGACGAACAACCAGAAGTGGAGCTTCTAGAGCCGCAACCACTGTCTCAAATCATATGGGATGATCAGGTCCTAGGAAACTTCAAGTCACCATCGCTGACAACTTACGATGACAAGACTGACCCTCAGGAGCATGTTATTGCCATCAACAATCAAATGGCCCTAATAGAACCCATCGACTCATTGAATTGTAAGTTGATGGCTGACACCTTCAAGGATGTAGCTCTGCGATGGTATATGAGCCTACCCCGTCTATCAGTGGGAAGCTATTTAGACCTGACAAAGAAGCTGATTCAACATTTCTCCTCTAACAGGCACCACAAGGTGTCGACAACTACCTTGTTCAGTGTCCCGCAGGGCCAAACAGAATCTCTCCGAAAATACTTAGTCTGGTTCAATGAAGACACCATTAAAGCATCCCATCCCAATTAAGAGTTGTTCGTCGGAGCCTTTCAGCACGACCTCCGAGAGGAGCAGTTCAACGAGTCTTTAGCATACAAGCCGACATCCAACATAGATGAAATTATCACCCAAGACGAATGATACATAAAGGGCGAGGAAAGTAACTTGGAGAAATGATCCAGGGACACCTCGGAGAAAAATAAGACCAAGGAGGAGAGGTCAGGAAGGAAGCCAAAATATTCCTGGACTTCTCCATGGGATAGACCCCGGGAGCGCACAACTCAAAGGCCCAACTGATGTCCCTTTGATTCGGACAACATGTCGACGCCTCTGAACGTTGGAAGAGGCGATATTTTACAAGAAGTGGAACATATGAACCTGATCTCGGAACCAATCCATTCAAAAAGGGTCAATGTCATGATGGGAAGGGATGTTGGGGTTTGGTGCAGTTACCACCGGCTCTGGGGATACCATACCAATGATTGCCTCCAGTTAAAGAAATAAATTGAAACATTGATACAGGGGGAACCTGTTAACTTATGTAAAAGATGGTAAAGCCCCATCCAGGAAAAGAGATACACGGTGAGAAGATGCAGACTCGGAAGGACCCTCCCAAAAGAAGAGGAAGGGTACTGAGGAAGTGCATGAGACCAAATCAGCTTGTCATACCCTTAACACCATCACTGATGGATTCATTGGTGGAGGATAAATCAACTCGGCTAGGAAGAAATATGCTCGTGTCGTGATGCACGTGTCCGAACATATAGCCAATGTCCAAAAGTAGGATTTAAATCTGGTTAGCTTCTCCAAAAGGGATGTTGTCGGCATTATGGCCTATGAGAATGATCCCATGGTCATTAAGGTACAAATCAGAGATTAGAGCGTGAAAAGGGCGCTGATAGATCCCAATAGTTCAGCTGATGTACTCATTGGGAAGTGCAGCGGTAGAAATGTTGAGACTAAGCCATTGGATTGACTTAACTCGCAGAGATCAAATAAAAATCTCCACTGCGCTTTATTGTTTTCAGAGGAATAGGAAAAGAGAGAATAACCCAAAAAGAGAGGGGGAGAATCTATGTACGGGGTTTGTTATGCAAAGGGAAGATATTAGCATCCTAAACATCTATGGTACTCCGTAGGAACCTCTTTGAAAATTTGTGTATTTTAGCTATAAACATTGTATACAAAAAATAGATGGTGGGGATGAGGAAAGAAATATATATATTTTTATAATTTTTTCATCCGCCGCGGTTGCGAACCTTTAGTGCCTACGTACCACCTTCTGTGCAA